GAAAACTAGGCAGGCAGTTAGAGGCAGGCATTGGGTCTCTGCATTCCTGCAAGCCCCACAGGATGTGACTGCCCGGTGACCTCCCCTCTCAACCCAAAACTTCTTTTCATTGTAATTATCTACCCCTGAAACAAATGGGTGCAAAATACCCAACTAGATCAGACCAGTCACTCCCACCTGCACAACACCTCTTGTCAATCACAGGTGTCAATCAAGTGGTCCCACACCCTTAGGGGAACAGCCCATTCTAGAGAAGGGCTAAAAACCCCAAGTCCTTAGAAGTCTGCCCTTTTATCCTTTTTTTGGACGCCCTGCTCTCTTGACTGCGTCTTCCTTTTTGAGCCCTTTGAGCCTCGCCTTTGCACGTGGCCTGCTCCAAACTCTTTGGAATGTAATTTATCTTCTAATATTGGGCCCTTGAGCCATTCTCTACTGCTTGGGCCTACTTCTACTTCTTTGAAATGTACTATCTCTTTGAATAAACTACTTTTTCAGTACTTTACTCCAGCATCTCATTCAATTCTTTGCTTGAGTTGCCAAGGACCTGGACTTTGCTCCGAGAAGGGCCCACTTTCTGACAACAAAGCTGGAGAAAAACAGCTACCATTTAGGACGTTTCAATCTTCTTAAGCGTCCTGGGGTAGAATTAACCCCTGGTCATTCACAAATGGTGAAAGGATTCACAGACTCAGAAAAGTAAGAGAGCAGGCCGGCTGGGTGGCACAGTTGGTGAGAGCGCGAGCTCTGAGCAACAGCGTCGCCAGTTCAATTCCCACATGGGCCAGTGAGCTGCGCCTGAGCTGAGATGCAGTTGAGCTGCCAACAGGCGGCCAGATGGCTCAGCTGGTGAGAGCATGTGCTCTTAATAAGATTGCCGGTTGGACCCTCGCATGGGATGGTGGGCTGCGCACCATCCCCTCCTGCCCCCGCAACTAGATTGAAAATGGCAGCTGGACTTGGAACTGAGCTGTGCCCTCCACAACTAAGATTGAAGGACATCTTGACATGGAGCTGATGGGTCCTGGAAAAACACAATGTTCCCCTTCCCCAATTCCCTAACACTGTTCCCTTCCCCAACTCCCCAATAAAATCTTAAAAAAAAAAGTAGGAAAGCAAAGAAAGCTTTATTGAAGTTTGGGCAGAGAGAATGTCTGTGGCAGTGTCTAAAGATGATGTCTGTCCCAGGTAATAAGGAGAGAAACACTGGCAGGGGTGGGAGGGATCACTGGGGGCAGAGTCTTGAAGTGAACGAACAGCTGCTGAGACGAAGGGGTAAGAGAAATACTGGCAAACAGGAGTTTGCCAGGGCAGAGTCTTAGAGTGGACAGCTACACCAAACTTCAGGTTAGCTTTTTATTACACAGGAAAAGGGGGAGTCAGTCAGGCAGGTCTGAGAGCTGACATCGTTTCCTGGGGTCTGGTCTGTTTTAAGATAATGTTATCTCCAGACTCCGGAGTTGGACTCGGCAATCGCAGCCTGGAACTTTATGTGTCACCAGTAAAAACTGCAAGGGAGTTGTAAATTCGATTCCAGTGTCCAGACTCCTGAGGATTAAGAAATTGTTCTTTAGGGTTAGGATTCTGTTAATTAAATAGATTCACAAGGTATGGGTGGCCTTGAGAAAGTGAACAAAACAGAGTTCTTAAGTTAATCAATGAGGGGAGAAACAAAGAGGAAACCGTTAATGTCAGGATGGATCTAACTGCAAACTCACTATGTTTAACTACAGGTGACTAGATAGCCAGCTTTGTGGTGAGTCAAACTGCAAACTACCTAAGTCTAACTGCGTTATTGATTTACCGAATTTCACCCTTACACTAAGGGCAATATATTCAACTGTTTTACTAATCACATGCTTCTTTCTAAAGTTGAGAGCTTACTTGTGCTTTTCTGTTTTAGAGGTAACAGGGAGAGTAATTTACTAAGGGTCACACAGTCAGTTTGTAACTGAAATGCTTGGCCACTGCATCTTGTTCAAGCCAGCTTTGTTCCCACTGCCTTCAGGTTAATAGCTTCTTGCAAATAGGCATGCTAATCATTGGAAGAATTCTGCTTGAGATGTGTAGTTTACAAAAACAGTCCCTTACCAGAGTGTGACTCTCCTGAGGAGATAAGGGAAGTATGTATTGTTTATCAAAGATTTGCAGGAACCTCGAGAGGGGACTCACATAATCTATGGCCAACAGACTAGATCTTCCCCGACCCCAGTTGGGGCCTAGCTGTCTTGCAGTCATCTTTCACCTCTTGCCCCTCCCGTTTCCCCTTCCCTTGACATGAAAGAAGCCTGAACTCTAATTTAAGATGGATTTGAGGATTAGGTCTCTCATCTTCTCAGTTGGTGTCTACTCTATCAAAAAACCTTTTCTTACTCCAAACTCTGACATTTTGAGTTTTGGCCTTTCGAAGTGTCAGGCACACGTACTTTGGACAGGTAACAAATTCTAGATCTGGCACTGGGACTAACATCTCCTGTCTCTCACCCAAACCATTATATCTTGAGTTTTCTGATGCTCAAATACACATGCTTCCCAGAAGATAAAATAATGTGACAGAAGAGCAAGTGAAACAAAATGAGAAACAGTCAGGTTTCTTTTTTTCTTTCCACATAATCCATTGAGGTTTTTATTCTGCCTCACAAAGAGGCACCGAAACTTAAACAAAACAAAAATGTATCTCCTGTTATTTTTCAAATGTTACCTCTGAGAGCTATGCAATTGTTATTGTCAAATTTGTGATTTTTACCAAAGAATGAGGTAAGGTTGAAAGGTAAAAATATTCATTGAAGATTTTATAAGAGTCAAATGCTTTGCACCAAGTATTATCATTTAGAATTCCGAACAATTATGAGGTGTATGTTATTACTTCCGTTACCGACCAACCAAGTGCCCCTGCCCACACTGCCAAAGACTTAAGTTTTCTTTACTATAGAAATGTTAAGTATAGAAATGTTAAGTCTCGGGCCGGCCGAGTGGCTCAGTTGGTTAAGAGCTCGCTCAAGAGTTTGAGTTCTGAGCAACAGTGGTTCGAGTCCAGCCCAAGCTGAGCAGCCGCTGAACTGCCAACAGGTAGCAGGATGGCTCAGCTAAAAAAATATATATATATATACTAGAAATGTTAAGTCTCCTCCATAGTTTCTTAGTTCCTTAGCCCCTGGCTTTGATTACTCTTCTTATCAGTCTGTGAATACTAGGCTAAAGATTGCTCCTAGCCTGAATCCTAGAATTATCTTATCCCCCTGCTTCTTGATTGCTTTGTAAATCAGTTTCTGTATCCTAAACAATAGAAGTCCCCCACCCCTGCTTCAGGAAACTACTTGAAAAGCCTGTGACTTCCTAATATCCCCCCAGGCCAGTAAGATAAATGTCAAACCCATTCTGGGCCCAGATAACTGACACCACCTGAGTAACAGGTTGAATGGCCATAGGCTTCATGAGAGCTAACAGATTTATTAATTAAAATCTATTTCTCCTCATTCAGGGACCTTGGGGATACAGAGGATACCCCAACAAGATTGCCAGTCAAAACCAAAGAAGCCAACACGGTCTTCCAGGCAGATCTCGAGACCCCTTCCTCTCATCTGTGATCAGCTAGGGTGAGAGTTCCGTGAATCCCCCAATAAGAAGGGACAACTCTATGCCCCTGCCCAGCAGGAAGCAGATACAGAAGAAAATACCTCCTGTCCCTCAACTTCCCATAGAGATTTTATGGGGATCGCTGTCTCTCAAGGGGAAAACCAGGCAGGCATTTAGAGGCAGGCATTGGGTCTCTGCATTCCTGCACGTCCCACAGGATGTGACTGCCCGGTGACCTCCCCTCTCCACCCAAAACTTCTTTTCATTGTAACTATCTACCCCTGAAACAAATGGGTGCAAAATACCCAACTAGATCAGACCAGTCACTCGCACCTGCACAACACCTTTTGTCAATCACAGGTGCCAATCAAGTAGTCCCACGCCCTTAGGGCAACAGCCCATTCTAGAGTAGGGCTAAAAACCCCAAGTCCTTAGAAGTCCGCCCTTTTTTCCTTTTTCGGGTCGCCCTGCTCTCTGGACTGCTTCTTCCTTTTTGAGCCCTTTGAGCCTCGCCTTTGCACGTGGCCTGCTTCAAACTCTTTGGAATGTAATTTATCTTCTAATAATGGGCCCTTGAGCCATTCTCTACTGCTTGGGCCTACTTCTATTTCTTTGAAATGTACTATCTCTTCGAATAAACTACTTTTTCAGTACTTTACTCCAGCATCTCGTTCAATTCTTTGCTCGAGTTGCCAAGGACCTGGACTTTGTGCCGAGAGAGCCCATTTTCCGACAACACTTCCAGATGAGGAAACAATTGATGATTCTACAGGTAGCACAGCTTCTTGACAAATATCATCACCAGGACTCTGGAGTCAAACATTACTGGGTTTTTTTTTTCCATTTTGAATCATTTTCCTCAAATGAAATCCTAATATAATTATAATACTTTTAAAGCACCATATGGCAGGCACCATTCTCAGGGCTGTATATGCATTAACTCATTCAACTATATTTTCTTTGTCTTTTCCGACTATTAAAAAAATGTTACTTTAAAAAAAGAATATAAAAGTATTAGGAATAAAGTTAAAACTACATTCAAAAATCTGATTCTTGCCCCAGACTTTTTTTTAAAAAAAACAACCGCTGCCAAACCAACCCTGCTCCACAATAGCCAAGGACCAGATTGTAGATGAAATGGAGGCTGGGGGAGGGGCGATGGCTGTAGCATTTCTTAATGCTGGGAGTGGAAGGCAGGAAGAGACAATTCTGAAAAGAAATAGAAAAGTTTAGTAGCTCCAAGAAAGATGTACCCCTCCCTACTAATCAGAGATGGGCAAATAAAAATTTTCCCTCTGGAATTCGTGACAACAAAAAAGACTGACAGGGTCAAACGTATAGGGGTGGGGCAGAGGGCGGGATTATCTCTGCCGCGTTTTTGGTGGGAGTGGAAACCGGGGACCCGAGCTCACTGGTGACGTTCATCTCACGTGACCAGGAGTCGACGTGTGCAGAAGTCCTGTTAGTCTGGTCCTTGTTCTCGCCTGGGTACCAGCTTCCTTCTGCAGCGCGACTGCGGGGCCTGAGGCCAGGGAAAGGAGAAAGCCAATCTGCCGGAATTTTGCAGGTTGGTGTTAAAATAAGTGCTGCTTGGGGATTTCTATGGTGGGGAGGCCTAGGGCAGAGACTTGCAGGAGTCCGGGTCAAGTCCACCTCCCCACCTCTGGGTCTGCAGGAAATAATGACCTTTAGGAAAGGGCCTAGGGGTCTCAGGAGGACAGGGAGACCTGTGATAGTTTAAAAATCATCATCTGCCATCTCAGACCGCTTTCCCAACACCTACTCTCCCCCCAATCCCCGCCTCAGTCTTAAAGATAGTTTGGAAATAATATCCTTTTCCTATTCCCTGTCTGATGGGAAATTCGAGCTAACTTGCACTGTGGAGAGGGAGAGAACCGGGGGAAACAGAAGGTGAGAAAGTTTCCATAACCAAGAACCTTAAAGAGGAAAAAGGTACGTGGTGCTGGTCACCAAGCACTTGCTCCTCCTCCCCTCCTCCACTCCCTTCTCCCTTTCCTCCCTCCCCCTCCTCCTCCCGTTTCTCGTTTGTCCGCGGATCTGCAGGTCTGTTGTTCATAGCACTGAGCAAGGCTAGAAAAGACGAGAAAGAAACTGACCGGGTCAATACAGGTAGGTGAGGAGTCTATTAAAAAGACGCCTGAGGAAGAGGTGGGCGAGGGCGGGACAGAAGTGTGGACCCCACTGTCTCGCCCTACCCCCAACCCGGAGTCTCCCAGACTACTCTGTTCTGGGAGGGTCTTGTGTTAAGTCTGTGCGGGGGCGGCGGGGTGGGGGATGGTTGAAGAGGGCTTTGGAAATGGTTGGAGGGAGTGACAAGAGAGCTGTGAGGCAGTGGAAAGTGGAGGTAAGAGGGGCCTCAGGGAAATTGCTAATTGAGTCTCCTGGGTGGATATTTGATGATAGCTCTGAATAAAAAAATTTTTAAAAAGTAAATGCTGAGACTTCTGTGCAGAGCACGGGTCCAATCACCAAGGCTTTGAATGACTTACCATCTCCTTGCTTTCTAGAAGTAATTGTATTCAAAGAGGAATAAGCAGAGAAAAAGGAGGGAAGGGAAGAAGAGAGACACAAGATGAAACCCTGTCAAACTGAAGGAAAACCAGAAAATGAGAGCGAACCAAAGCTTGAGGAAGAGCCAAAGCCTGAGGAAAAGCCAGAGGAGAAGGAAGAGCCAGAGGAGGAGGAAAAAACAGAAGGAACTTTTAGAGAAAGGCTGATTCAGTCTCTCCAGGAATTTAAAGAAGATATACACAACAGGCATTTAAGCAAGGATGATATGTTTAGAGAGGTGAATGAAATAGATGAGATAAGGAGAGTAAGAAACAAACTTATAGTGATGCGTTGGAAGGTTAATCGAAACCATCCTTACCCATATTTAATGTAGTTTACCTTGATTTTTATTCTTTCTGATATTAACATTGCCATATAGCTTTCTTTCGATTTGCATTTTCCTGATACATCTTTGTCCATTTTTCTACTTTTAACTTGTTGCTTGCTATTAGTGGTGTTAGATGCATCTCTTCTTATCTACATTCCCATTGTTTATCATATTTTGAACCAATCTCCAAGTCTCTGCCTTTTAATAGGAGAGCTTTACTCATTTGTACAAAAAGAAGATCCTGACAAGATATGAAATGAAAAAAACGTTATTAAGTAATATGTCAGTATCATATTTTTAAAAGGGAAGATTACATTTGTATATTACATATATGCACAGAAAAATGTGTGAAGGATGAAAGACAAAAAAATACAACCAGTGGTAAGATTATGAGTGATTTTTAAAATTCTGCTTATTTGTATTTTTCCTTATTTCTAGAATGTACACACATTATGTAAAAATAATAAAAGTTTTATAACAAAAAAAGTAACCAACAGCACTTATCAGTTTATTTCTAAAGGCACCGTGGCACTTGACATTTCTTGACAGAATTTTAGAAGCAAATGTGAAGGCCAAATTACCACTAGACCACCTAGCTAGAAGAGTGAATTTTACATCTTATCTGTAAAATAGAGATAATAACCATCTCTAAGGTATATTCTGAGGACCAAATAAGGATACGCCTGTGGGCTGTATCTGGCAGGTTTTTCTCCCCTATCTGCCCATGCAGGATCCCAACTTCCAAGAGATGTGTTTCAGCTGTTTGGGAGGGTGGAGAAAGTAGTTCTCACCTGTGCTTAAGAACAAATCCAGGCCAACTGTTAGGTGGGTGCCACCTTTATGTTCCTCTCCTGCTGTGCTGCCCAACCTCCCATCCTCCTCCCCTTGATACTACCATGTATATTGGATATTCCTGCCCCTTCATCTAGGTCCTATAAGTTTCAGACCCCTATTGTTGCGGATGCTTTGGACTTCTCAAATAGTGAAGCCCGACATATTTCTTCAGAACTCCCCCGTGGGCTGAATTCCCAGACTGACCTCTACGGAAGTGGGGAGAATGGCCATCTTCTCAATTTAGACATTTATGCAGGGCTGCTTGGGCCATGATATCTTACAGATACCTTGGCAGTTTCGCGATTTTAATCACAAGTCCCGTCTTTCCCATAAGACTATGGTTCTGTTTGTGGGGGTTGGACCAGAAGACAAGTCTGACTAACAGATATTATGCTTTAGTCAGTTGCTTCCCTGAGTCTAAAGAGTATGGTTTTATCTTCCCGACTCTCATTTCCATAGTGTAAGTGATCTCTCCCAGAAGACTAGTGCCAAACCCTCACCAGTTAAACAGATACTCCTGGACCTGTGTAAATTGTAAAGGGAGGCTCAAGTCAGATTTAGGGATATTCCTGTCTTTACCTGGAAACCTGAAAGTGCTATGTAAGACAGCATATCTACATCTAAATCTATGTATGTATAGATGGCTCGCAGTTGTGCCAGCTGTGTTAGTATTTTATTTTTCCTCTGTGCTTCTCTTTTTGGGGCAATTCATGTCTTTAGACTGTTGTTCAAGTTTGCAGCACCTTGACGGTTGCTGGTGGGGCTGCATTCCGGCTGGAGTGAGATGAGGGTCCAGGAGCTCACTGTGGCAGTTTTACAGACAGGACAAATCAATCCCCCTGGCACTCTGAGGGGTGGCGCTCAGGCGGGATGTGGAAGGGATCACCTCAACCACACTCCTCTCCAGAGTGATCTGACTTCGATTTCTCTGCCCCAGCCTGCAGCGGGCACCAGACCCTCCTAAGCTGATGGAATTGCTGTGCTGGACATACTTACCTGGGGGACAATGACTGTCATCATTACAGGTCAGAGCACTAGGCTTCCTTTCCCCCCTTTTTCCTTCACAAGCAGACTTCATGGGAAAGTTTTCTAGGGGAGGAGATAAGACATCAATATTCACTAACTAAAAACATTGGTTGCAATAGTCTTTGTCCCAGCCATGACTACTCTGGATATAATCAGCTAATTTGGGGTTACGATAGAAGTGCCTGGTGGTAGGTGGAGATGATTTTAGACAGTACAGAAACATTTTAAATTGTCATATCCATGTATTTATTTGAATGTGTAATAATGAATACTCTAAGGTAAATGTTGATAGTTTAGATTTAGGATGGTGTTATAAAGTTCCCTTTTGAAAAAAAATATTCAAATTAAATGAGTCAATTTGAAAACAAACATGAGATATAACAGTTAATATTAACAAAATAGCTTAGGTAGTATACTCATATGGCAAAAATCATCCTACTGGGAAACATTGCCTTAACATAACTGATTTAGGGATAATATCTGGAAACACCTGTCAAGAACTCTACAGGGCCAGCCGAGTGGTTCACTTGGTTAAGAGCCTAAGCTCTGAGCAACAGGGCTGCCGGTTTGATTCCCACATGGGCCAGTGAGCTGCACCCAAACTGAGCTGCCGCTGAGCTGCCAACAGGCGGCAAGATGGCTCAGCTGGTGAGAGCACGTGCTCCTAACAACAAGGTTGCTGGTTTGACTCCCTCATGGGATGGTGGGCTACGCCCACCCACAACGAAGATTAAACATGGCACTTTGAGCTGAGCGGCCGCAAGCTGCCTACGGGCGACCAGATGGCGACTGGACTTGGAGCTGAGGTAGCTGCGCCCTCCACAAATAAGACTAAAGGACAACTTGACTGTTTCCCTTCCCCATTCCTCAACACTGTTCCCCTCCCCCAATTCCCCAATAAAAGTCTTTAATAATAAAAAAAGAACTGTGCAGTATGAGATTTCACCCTACTTATAAGTTGACAAGTTAATCTACTACTATTTAATGGATACTTGCAGAAGACACAAATCCTGGGTCAGAGACAAAGGACATTATTACTCATAGCAAAAGCAGTAGCCAGAGCTTCATAGTGGTTTGTATCAATTCCCCATGACCCCCAAGTCCCATCATGGATGCCTGCACATGTAGTGCTTCGTGTTATAGGAAAGAAATCCTGAGTTTGGAGAATTCACCACTCTCATAGTAAGCATAAGCAAGCCTGCTCTGTGTCCAGGGAAAGACCTTACCTCATCCCTCAAAGTCGCTTGCTGCAGACATAACTCTGAAAAATGGCCTGCCTGTGTAGAGTAGTCAGAGACTTACCTCAGGATCCAAAGCAGATTACTTCTCCAACTAACAGTTTTCTCTGTGTAAGAAATCTTAATGTGAATGGCAAGCCTTTCTTAACAGCACAAATTTTGATTTCTAATTCCAAGTTAAATAAAGCAGATAATGCATTATACTGTAGAATGTAAACAGGGCATTTATAACTCTTTCTAGTTTTTACTTAAATACATAGAATTTTGAATGAATCCTAAATTGAACAGAAACATCAACTAAGAAACTAAAACTAAATAGTCTATAAGGAACTTTAAAGTTATGGTAACACATAGCTATCATGACGCAATAAATAAAAGACGTAGAGGAGCAAGACCAGTGGATGCACCAGAATGTTTATGAAAGGAGTAATCTTACACAAAATTTTGCACTGCAAAACTAACAGGAAAATGTGTGTGTTCAGAAGTCAGCCCCAGATCCCATATACATGCAATCACTGTTGCCTCTATAAAAGGAAAAGCGAAAAGCTGGTCTGTTCCCTCTATAAGGAAAGCTTAAGGTAGGGTAAGGGTTGAGGGAGCTGGGGTCCTCACATATTAACAGTATCTAAAAGCAGTTATTTGATATTCTGACACCAGCATTTTGCAAGAGCCTTAGCAAAAACAGTTGCATCATTTGATGGATAATTTAGTTGGCTATAGAGCATCTTTTCGTGTGTGTTTTACTTTGAGAAATGTCTATTCAAATATTTGCCTACAACCCCCTCCCCTTTTAATATTTTCAGTATAGTGTGGATAAAGAGTCTACCAGGGGTGCCAAAAAATGTATACACATGACTTGTATTCATCTTTTGTTATCAGTATATATTATTACAATTTTATTACAGATTTTCCTTTCTTAAAATGTGTATACATTTTTGGCACCCTCTGTATTTAAAGGAATGAGGTAGATCCATATGTACTACATGTTCATGCATTATTAAAAAGAAAAGTGAAGGACAAGAGGTACAGTATAATATATACACACACACATACATACACACCAACAAATATCAAGATGAAGTCCTTTAGTTTGCTAAAGGGAGGGATCTCGTCTTTTTAAGAGGCATTTTGATACCTCACCAGGCTTCCTGCTATCTAGTTGTTTAAGAAATAATTATTTTTAAACATTTCTCCTAATGGATAATTATATTATCCTTGCATTGTAACTGTCAAAATAGTTTCTTGGACTTACATTGAGTCTTTCTTCCCTTCCATGAACCTCGAGTCCTTTTCCAGACGTTATATCACTAACCTACTATTTAATAGAAAAGGGAAGTGAGGCTTAGAGAGATTAAGTGTCTTGCCTAAGGTCACCCAGCTATTAAATGGAATGCCTGCCTAAGGTAAAAACCCTTACTCCTAATCTCTGCTCTCCAACAGTTGGTATTTAATAAATAGTAACAACAACAACAACAACAACAACACCATCGTGCTGAATGAATTCCCATCATCTTTTCAAAGCTCTATCCCTTTCAAGTCCTCGTCTTGTTTCTCATGGCTTTCCCTGTCTGAAACATTCTCTCAACCGTTCCTCACACACTTAGCCTGGATAATTCCTACTCATCTATCCCATAATACATGCTATTTTTTTAGACAGTTTTATTGAGATTTAATTCATATACCATACAATTCACCCATTTGAAGTGTAAAATTTAGTGGTTTTTAGTATATTCACAGTTATGTGAAACTATCACCACAGTTAATTTTAGGACATTTTCAAGTAAAAAAGAAGCACTAGACCCTTAACTATGACTCCTCTCCCATACCTTTATTGTTCTAGCCCTAAACAAACACGAACCTATTTTCTGTCTCTATAGATTTCCCAGTCCTGGACATTTCATAAGAATGTGCTCATATAAGATGTAGTCTTTTGTGGTTAGTTTCTTTCACTAGCATGTTTTCAAGATTCATCCATTGTGTAGTATGTATTTCTTCATTACTTCTTATGGCTGAACAATATTCTATTGTATGGATTGGCCACCTTTTGTTTATCCATTAATCTATTGATGAATATTTGACCTATTTCCATCTTTTGCTTATTATGAAGAGTAGAGTTATGAATATTCATGTACAAGTTTTGTGAGGACATATGTTGTTATTTCTCTTGGATAGATACCTAGGAATTGAACTGTGAGGTCATACAGTAACTCTAGATGCTCAATCATTTCAGGAACTGCCATATTGTTTTCCAAACTGTCTGGCCATTTT